ATATAGTTAAGGTGACGTTACGTACACTCAAAGCGAGACGAGACACGACCGATCAGATCGAATGATATCACAAAACTTTTACGACCGATCGTACATAAAGTTCAACCAGTTCAATCACGAGGCCCTAGCCGAAACTACGCATCTGCCGTGGTCTGCCATGCAAACTGAAACTGAACGATTACACAATACTTACAAAAACGCAGCGCCTCTTCTTCTTCTTCTTGATTAATGGCTCCCGTCTCCCGAAATAATAAACGGAAATCGATACGGCCAGATCACGTCTTAATGAGATATACAAAAATAAAAAAAATGATGCAATGCCCGCGAAAATGGCGAAACCCGTACGAACATCGGGCGCCTACGGCGTCGTCATGCCGCACGGACGAGCGTCAGGACGAACGGGTCATTCAAAATCACGGGACAACTGTGAGAATTTCAATGCTCAGTCAAAGTCGACAACACTTTCAAAAATATGTAAACTTATAACACCAAACCGAAACACGTCCGCCACGGTCGAGTGGTTCTTCAGAACTCAGTGTCGCGCCTCGTCTCCTTCGAAATAACTTAAGCGGCCAATCAGGACTGCGCTCTCTGTCGCGTGTTTCATCACGCACGCGCACTAGCGAGACGACGAGGCGGCCAATAACCTTACACTTGATTGGTGCGCGATCTAAAATCATTGGCCGGTATTCAAAACACGCTTTTATCTCTAAAATTCTATAGTATGCGTAACGTAAATTATAGCTAAATGAATTTATATAAAAAAATGATCAAAGAGTAGAATAAAAAATAGTTTTGAATCTCACAATAAATTAACTGGAATGAGAAACAGAGATAATGGTTTCATTGGAATACTTCTCTGTTCACTAATATTCCATTAGATATTGTGGTAGAAGAATTAATAAAAAAGAGGGATTCCATTAAATGTGCCACAAACATATCAAAAAATGAATTCGTTAATGCGATCAAATTTGTCTTAACATCGACATATTTTACTTTTAATGAGATTATTTACAACTTACTTTTGGAACATCTATGGGTTCCCCCCTTTCCCCTATCATTACTACTGACAAGAGAAGGTTCACAACTATCCGGAACCGATTTGATTCTCCATGAGATATGTTGTTAAACACGAAAATCTAAGAGACACGTATTTTTTTATACGTGCGCTAACACATATTTAAGGGGTGAAACACCTCTTTAAAAAAAAACGTATTTTTTTTCAAGGTGAATATCGGAAATATAAAAGATAGAAAAAAATTTTTTAAATAAAAGTTATACGGTTTTAAAAGTACTTTAAAGCTATAGATAAAAAAAATTTTGTTTCTTTTTTGTTTAACAAATCCCCCCACCATCCATAATTTTCTTAAATTTTCAAATTTTTTTTTACCAAATTAAAGATTATTTTTTTACAAATTCAATCATGTGTAATAAAGTTATATTACAACATATCATTTTCGAGAATTAATTATTAACACTTCTATATACAATCCATGTTCATAAGTAATTGTCGTTGGAACAATAAAATATAAAACTTGAAAACTTAAAAAGATGTCTTAAATAAAATTTGTATAGTTTTCTATATGTTTTATTATATATGTGTTTAAATTTTACATACAACATATAAAATATATATATATATATATATATATATATATATATGTACATATTTAGATTTTCTAAATATATAATTTATCGTTTTATTTGCCGAAAAAAAATACCGTTTTTAAAATATATATACATATTAACCCTGTTATTATTTCTTTGACATTTATGTCTAAATTCTAAACAAAATTGTAAGGTTCGTAATATATTCTCGTAAGATTTATAAGAATTTTGAAGTGTTTATATCTTTATACGATATTTTTATAGACAGCTTTTTACTAATTATAAGATTTACAAGAAATCTTAAATATTTACGAATAATCTTATGTTTTATGATACATACACATAAAATTAGAGAATACTAGTTATAAGTTCTTATAAGTTTTACGAGAACAAAGTTACGAGTCTTACGATTCTGTTTAGAATGATCTATTAATTTTTTCTATGAATAAAAATTTAATTCCAAATCCATTCTTTTATAAAATTATTGTACAAGATTGAATCATTAAGAAATACATTTTTTAAAAATTGTTGCATTTGAAAATACATTGAATTGTTAGAAAATATATATTTAATAACTATGTTTAATATATATATATATATAAAATATATTTAAATTGTTAGAAAATCTCGCGTCTGAATCGTCATGTGTAATGAGATATAAGAATAACCTTCTAAATCACGTATCACGTATCAGAGTCGTGATATATTTTTCAAAGAAAAGATAAGTTTATCTATATCATATTTTTTGAAATAGATGATAGGAATAATTGTGAACATCTTATTTACTTATCATTTATGTAATAATTTCTAAACGTACTTAATAATGAAATAATTTCTAAATGTTTATATACAATAAATTTATATTTTGTTTACTCATTACATTCATTACAATAATGAATTACTCGATGAAAAAATGTTTTAAACATAATGATTTTCTGCATGAACATCTTACTACAACTATATTACTGCAACTCTCGATATCACACGTTGTTGAACTTTTGGATTATGTATCAAAATTGTAATTTTATTATATTATTTCTTTCATATAAATTTATATTACTTTCCAATAGTAAAACAATATCTGAAAATCTTTTAGCAAAATTTTTCCAAATTCTAAATCCGTATACATTTAATGGTTGTATTTTTCCTGTAGGGCCTTTCGGTATAATCATAGTAGTAATATATTTTCCTGCAAGTGTTAAATCTGAAATAATATTGGGACAATGTCCAGTTTATGAATCGAACGTTATTAGAACCAATGTTTGGAAAATAAGATTCTTCTAACCACATTTTAAAATTATCTGTAAGAAATATAAATGTTAAATTAATAACTATTTTACAATTATTATGAGATTCTTAAATAAAACATAAAATATATCATAGAAATAACGCAAAGATTATAATTTTGTTAATACAAATTTATATTTACTTTTTAACAATAAAACAATATCTGAAAATCTGTTGTAAAAGGAAATTTATTTAATTATCTGAAATCATTTTACCAGATTTAGATGCTTTTACAATAACATTTATTGATGTAAATAAGGTTTTTTATACTCTTGATCCAAATATACCATTAATTTTTTTTAATACAATAAATAAAGGCAAATTTCCATTACACGATATTATTGGTTGTATGGTGTATGAATGTGTTGTTGATGATATAGATTGCACAACACACTCTACTTTCTTTATTTCTTGATTAGACAATGATTTCTTCCAGAATGAATTGGAAACCACTTTGATCAGAATTAAAAACATTTTCATAACATTTTCAAACTGTTCGATAAATGATTTCACTGTTTTCAGGAAATTATCAGCTGTATTTTGCAAATTAACGGAATCTTCTATTATTCTTCTAGTTACAAATTTCGTAATTTTTCTCGAAACAATTTAGTAGGACTTTTTGAATACCCAACTGTGAAATGCTTTAAATACAGGATTTAAATTTCCTATTTCTTCTTGAGAGCTTGTAAAGCCCATCTTTGTAAATCGAATTTTGTGTATCGTGAACTATGAATCTTGATTCAACACCTGTAGTAAATTTATCATGTGTAAATTTGGAGATGCAAGATAATTTTTCTATATGATTTCTACCTGAATGTAATTGTTCTTCCCATCGTCTTAATTGACGTTCAGATGAAACTCTTCTAAATTTATTTTGCACTGATTTTAGCAGATGATTCCTTTTGTTATTATTTTTTTCATTAATATCTCAATTCTGGCAATACTCAACAGCTCATCTTTTATAAGAATTGTCAAAGTCTGTGTCATCATTTGAACATTGAGGATGAAAATTTAAATTATCTTCACTCTATGCTTCTTCGTCATCTTCAATAATTTCAGAATTATATAGTTTATAAGGTTCTTGATATTGAGATAGATTTCTTCTGTTACTTCCGATCCATTATATAGTGAAAAATATTCAATAATAATTTTTGTATGTGTTCTTTTAATTCTATTTCAGCTTTAGTGACTGATGTTTCTGTTAGATACACTGAACTTATAGATGCTAATAAAAGTCTAACAATATTAAGTGGATTATTAGTCATATCTAAAAATGTTACACTTTGCTTTGAATTGTAATATAAAAACAATTTAACAAATGTATAGATATGATTATGACAGAATGACTGCACTGACTGAATGTAAAAACTACATGAATATTCTGTCCATTTATTATAATTATCTTGAATGTATATATAAACTATTACCGCACAAGTCATTTATCATATATTTCAAGAAACTTATTTTTTCTTTGAAAAATATATCACGATTCTGATACGTGATTTAGAAGAAAAAATTTGAAATAATAGGATTCTTAATGTTTAAAATTCAAACAACGTGATATAAAAGGCTAATAAGAGTCAAAAAAACTTAATAAAACTCCATTATTCGTTTAAGTATAATTAAAGACAGAAATAATAAATCAAATTATAGAAAAGACAAAAGTTAAAACACTAGAATACAATTACATACATGTTTCGACTTTATATTCAGGCCCTCTTCAAATGTACAAAAAATTTTTTATTTCACGGCGCAGTATAATACATTATTCAAAAATTAAGAAAGCGACTATTTCGTTACATAATTAGATGATAGTTAAAACAGAGAAAACGGAAAATTGTTCGTCAAGCGATTGGTTGACCGATTCCGAAAATTTCTCATTATTCTTATAGTTTAAGAAATTTTCGCAATCAATCAACCAATCGCTGGTCATGAAAATTTGCTCAAGGCCGATGGTGTTTAATAGTATTTCGTTGGTAATGAACCAAATATTGATTTATCAGTCTTGAAAAATGGATGTGTGTATCCTCAGTGCAGAAAAGTGGATGCTGCTATATAGTCTACATCCACTTTTTCAGAGGGCAGTAGTGCGTGACAGTATTTTACGCTTACAAGAAAAAGGTCCTTATGTCCTCTCTTAGGTTCCTTTCTGGTTGGAGAAAGAAAAAAGAGAAATGAAAAGTAGAGAGACTGGAGAAAATTCAATTTGAGTCAGCTGTAAACCACAACAAACCGAAAGCCATTCTTTAGTCATTGCCAGTCATTGGCGTGTAGCTGGTAATAAAGATGGAGAAGAGTACATTTGCGTCATGCTCAAATTATTTCGACAGATTGCGAGGCAAAACACGCAATATCGATGAAGGCATCGAGAGACTTTCTGAGACCTGGAAAACTCCGCAACTTCTCATCGGTGGCTATGCAGAACGTACGGCTGAGACTAATGTCTACCTGGAGGGATTGTGGGAGTCTATACGAAATACTGGTGTAAATACTGTTCGGTTAATATTATCTCGGAGTTTGCGTTCCTCAATCTTCCTATGTGACTATTAAACCATTTCCTATGTGATTCAACATTTCTTTTTAGTGCTTTCCTATTCCTTAACCGGATTACTAGTACCTGATTGTTATTATTTTATTGTTATAAACTAAAATTAAAAAAAATAAAAATCTCTAAATGTTTTTGTATAAGTACTTTAAGTATTCAAAATAACTTAACTGCAAAATTTCATCATTGATTAATTACAAAAATTTAGAATAAATATTTTATTTATTTACTGGATGCAGGAATTAGATGTAATCTAATACTTTACATAAATTATCTTAATACATAAGGTATTTATTGAACAAAGAATTGTGATTTTTGTCATTTTATATTAGGTGTTGGAATTAATTCGTAGCGTTTTACAAGTGATGGGAAGTACTTTCATTAATGTATTTTTTAATGCTCATGTGAAATAAATAACATTCTTTCATTAAAAAACGCTACGAATTAATTCCAACACCTAATAATATGTCCATACATTGTTATCAGAGCACTGATTTAAAAAAATACTACTTATTTTGAAATAATTTATAATCTAAATGATAAACCATCACTAAAAAAATTTGTTGTATTACTTTTAAATATGATTTAAAATAATCTGTAATCATTTAATAATTTTTTTATTATTTTGAAATGATAAAATTTATATCTTAAAGTTTATTTGCGTCATGCTCCAACATACTCCTATTATAATTCATACTCACTCAAATATCATTGGTTATATTGCTAAGTAATTATTCCACGAATATGTTCCAAAATTCACTGTCAGCATAGTTCATGTTACACTTATTACAGATTTACTGGCAATGAATTTTGAAACACAGTCTGAATTATATCTTATACCTTACTGTACCTTATACTGTAGGAAATAAGATATCATGCATTATGAGTAGTGTATTAACTATGAAGAAATTGTGAAGTGAGCATTTGATTATATGTATTGTGCAATTAATCATAGGTTGAGATGGAAAAACTTCAATCAAAATTGGAACCATCTTTGGATAAGACAGATCAGTTACTAAAAGAGTCACAAGAGATGTACAAAGATTTAAAAGAGCAGTGCGACAATTTGGACATTGTTCTAGCAGAATATGGCTATCATTATGACGAGAGTAATGATGAACAAGAGAATCATTTACGGTACTATATTTTTGCTACATCTTATAATTTGAATATGTTTCAGGTCCCTGAGATTTTTTCTACATTTGCAATTTTATATATAGAATATCATATTACAGAAGCTGAGTTCGATTTAATCACTCAAGCTTTAAGTATTTATAATCATCATTTTGTCTTTATCGTTTATTATGTGAAAGGATAGAAGCACTAAAAGGGTTTAAATCGAACACAGACAGAAAATATATAAATTATAATATGTGTTCTAAGTTACTTACTATAATTTTTTAATTATAATGTAACAAACAAAATGTTAAAATTGAAACGGATCCTTATACATATAATGGATTTTTATACATATTTTTTTCTAACAGAGTTTTTTAATTGAAAAGTTTTATAAAACAATAAAAAAGATAAAATCATTATTTGTATACGCTGTGAACAATTCCCTGGAATTATATAAAATATAATTTATTTCTATCAATATAGATAATTGTAATCTCGGTTTAATTTACTCTTTATCTTTTCCTAATTCTTAGAATTAGAAAAAGATAAAAAATAAATGAAATCAAAATTGAAGTTGATTTACATTGGTAAAAACGAACATTAATCATACATAGTTGCTCATGATGTTTTTCTTTCCTTTTAGAAACGATAATCAGAATTCCATGAATGATTGTGCTTTTGATACTGAAGAGATGCTTGATATGGAAGTTGAATTTACGCCGAACTTGACATGGAAATGTAAGACTAAATCTAGAGAATCGGACTCTTCCAATGCAAGCCAGAAGAATACCATCAAGGGTATCGCAACGCCTGTATTTAAAAGTCTAGAATCAGTTTTACATTCAGAGATTCTGAATGGAAAAGGAGTATTTACAAATAATGCATCAGTGCAAAAATCAAATTATTCAAAACAAATTACAAAAGTATTGAGGAGATAATCTCGATTCCATACATATTTTCCGCTTTTCTATTTTTTAGCAATGTAAAAAAGAAAAGATATATCTATTATTTGCCTTGTTAAAAGATATGCCTGTTTAGTACATTACGACAGCGTAAAAATGATTAAAATATTGATTGGAAAATAAATTAAATTATTTAAATGAATTTATGTTTAATTCAATTCTTAAAATATAAATATATGTTTATATACTGTTAGTACATAAAGTACACGATAATGTTTGTATTCTAATTTTACTTGGCTAAATATACTATTTGGCTAATTCTTTTTATATATACCATGTAACAAACGAAATGTTAGAATTGAAAATGAAACTAGGTAGTTCTTACGGATTTTTATATGTATTTTTTAACAAAGAATTTTTTAATTAAAAAGTTCAATAATAAAGTATTATGAGAGAAATAAAATTGTTATTTGCTATCATTTGCTCTGACCTTCGTATTTGTTTAATCTCCAAAAAATTTACTCTAGCGAGGCAGGTATCATTAAAATGAGAAGGAGCTGCCATTTGCTGCAAATAATCCCCGCATGGAAGTAATCTAACTTAACCCAACCGGTTCAACCTAACCTTAAAAGTGTGAAATTGTCATTGAGGAATTGATTACTAATCATTGAATTATTTACGTTATTGTTCAACAATATAAATTGTTAGACTGCTAATTGTCGATCTAAATTGGAGCAATAAATAATAAATTTTATAATGAGTGAGTTAAATATTATTAAAATCTTTCTAAATATATATATATATATATATATATATACATTTATTGTAACATATACACATGTTTATAGAAAAGAATCAAATTTGCCAGCACAAAGACGTTTTTCAAAGAATGAATTATTTATATCAGGTACGAATAATTTGAAATTTATCATCTATTAAGTGATATTTATTTATCCATTATGATTATTTTTACTTGATAAAATAATATAGAAACATATGATGTTATTGTGATTTAATATTTCCTTGCAGGCTAGTCATTTAATGGCATTAAAGAATCGAGTTATGGCATCTTATCTTGGTAACCATATGTTCGCTTGTGCTAAGAAGGCAGTATTGCGCACGTAAGTTTCTAGATGATTTATTATAAGGAATTATTTACAAGAGTTGTAACGATTCGTTATCTTAGGGAACCAAATTTGAAAAGAACTGTATGTAAATGTTGTCAAAGTCCACTCATACCTGGAGAGACGGCAAGAGTTAGATTAGTATCAAAACCCATAAAGGGTATCAAATGGACATGTTTAATTTGCATGAATAGTAAGAGGTATCCTGCAAAAAAAGGATACAAATTATGGCTCGACCAGCCAGAATCACTAGTTCGGATATTAGATTTTACACCAAAATCAAAGAACAAAAACTTTCAGCAACTTGGCTCTGAAAGCAATCTTGAGGAAGTAAAAGAACAAACTGAAAACTATCCTAGAAATTCTACAAGTTGAATCGTTTGAACAATACCAATCAAGATAAAAGTAAAAAAAAGCAGTTAATCTTAAAGCAGTTTGATCGGGTTCATGTATTTTATAGATTAACTCAAGATTTGGTGTATGAATATTTTTTATTAATGACTTACATAAAATATGTTACAATATTACAATAAATTTGTAATTAATAAAACAGATACTTTTGCTAACTGGAATATTCATAACCATCTAGTAATATCATGATACCGATAATAGTTTTACATTAAATGTTCTTAGAAATAACTCGATCGTAAGTTAAGTTTACTGTTGTTATCGAGTAGTTGCGATACGTTTTTTTTTACGGAAAGTGGCATCCGCAGGGAATTCCCGAAGGTCATGATCTCTGTGTTCTCAGCCGAGGACGGTTTGTGAAGTCGCTATTAAAGTGTAAAGTCGACAGGTTTTCGAAGGCAAGATTATTTCGCCGTAATGACACTGGAATTCGCTGCGAGCGTCATTATTTCATCTAACTATGATATGACTATGTCCGCCCACCGCCAGTGACTCGTGCAAAATCATTACGAGTTAAATCATCACACTCATACTTGGGCGCAATCAAATCACAGTTTACTTGAAAAGAAGAAAAAAATATCAGTCATTTAATATTCTATCTTAAATAAATATACTAACACGAAATTAACAGTACTAACTTAGAAATTATACGCACTATCTTGATTATAAACGTTCCGTTGTGCGAGTAGCAACAATGACGTAATTGTTCGTTCACCAAATACAGCAATCCGCATCGCTTAGATGCCAGAAACGTGGCAGTGATCGTTGTAAAACGTACAAGATGCGTTCGCGTTTCGAACGCACGTACGTACCTCGGAAACGCATAAATATTAAACTAACGAGAAAAGTAATACAAAAACTGGGCTGGACGGAATCTACACATTCACTTATATACATATATCTGTCGTGCCAAGCTTCGGTCGTGTCGAGTTATCTCACACACAGTATCTATTTTACCTAGCTTATATTCTTCTCTCTTTCTTTTCTTTTGCTTTTTTTTTGATTCTTCTAAAAAGTAATTCTAACGATAAAGTCAGACGGGACCCCAGGTTGGCAACGCACACATATATACATGCACACACCAGCTACAGGGATTAATTACTCCAGTAATATTGACTGTGTCGTTCGTCGTCACTCTTCATCATGAGTCCTTTCATAAGCTCTCGCGGAAGAGTCTGAACTGAAAATGGCAAAAGTCACGCAAGTGAGAAAGGGCGGATCTCGCGAATGTTGTGTCTCGTGTTTCATGTCATGTCGTGTTGTGTCGCTCTTCTCGTACACGCGTCTACTCGCAGGACAAACCCGACCAATATTTAACTCGGTTATTGTCAAAGAGGTGTGTGCATGCGAGTCGCCCGAAGTACGCTCCGAAGAGGCGCGTGCAATGAAAAAGAGCCGCGGACAAAGAGGTACAACGTACGGCGACGGAGCTTATTTAGAGATAGAAAGGAAGGAGGAGAGGATGGGCTGAGTGTGCCCGTGTATCAGAGCTGATTTATATTAGCCCCGAAACGAACTGGGGCTGGCCGTCGCGGTCGACCGTCAGTTGCGGCATCACGTTCGGGGAAGGCTGGAACGTTGATCCTTGAAAACCCATTGCCGATTCGTATAACTGAAGCATAACAAAAAATTGCTTAAGAATTAAAAATTGTTTAAGAATTATACCTTACAGTCCTTACAGAAATACAATTTAATACTAGAAATTACTTACTTTGAGTATTAAAAGCATAACAATGAATAATGATGCTTTTAATACTTAAAAAAAAATAAAAAGAATTAATCACTACCTTCAATTATTAAATTTCTGTAAGAGCCGGGTGACCACTGACATCTATTATGCATTATTAACGATTACAATTTTTTTTATGTATTAATTCTTAAAGCAAAAAGAGACATTAGGCCAAATATTGTATTTATCTGTATATAATGCACATGTCCTTTTCGTTACTTCCAAATTGCGTAATTACTTAATTTCAATATCGTACAACTGATATTGATTATTATAATTTTCAGAACACTCCATTACAGTTAAAACTATGATCTCAAAGAGAGAATCACTAATCAGAGTTAAGTCTGTCAGTGTAACAAGGCTTTACTGTCTTATAATACCCATTAGCATTACTCGACTTACATTATGATTTCCTGGAAGTGTCGTGTAATCCGGCGTGGTCGGACGATGCCTGTTCGTAGGCAATGGATGTTGGATGGTTGCGTAAGTGTTATCTTGGGATGTATCACCCATGCCGACGCTTACGCCACTGCCGCGTCTCTCGCCACCGAGACCACCCTCGGGCTCGCTGAACACTTGCATCGTTAACTCCTGCTCCTCGTAGAGCTTCAATTTTCTACAATCAAGAACAATATTTCATCATATATCGCACGTAAGGTCATGCATGCGCGAGAAATAAGACTTACTGCTCGATCCATAGAGGATTCTCCGTTGTGTTCAATTCGTCAATGATCTGTTTCTTAATTAGGCCGTCCTTCTTACGTATATCATTTGGCACAGTTATCACCCTGAAGCATCATTGATGTAGATGTATTGAATGAATGAGTAAGATAAGAACATGTCTGAAATCTTGGTAGTCTTACCAATGGCGTAGACAGCAACAAACGACTGTAACAGTAACCGCACCTACGAGTAGAACAACTAAAAGAGCTATTAAAGCAGCGAGTGCAGGATCGAATGGTTCTTCTTGAATCCCAGCATATGCGGGCTGAAATAATTGTAAGTTTTATACACATATTCAATAATTTTAGTAATATTATCGGTTGTTATACTACAAGACTTATTTTATCTAGTTTACTATTATAAAATAATCAATTTTACAGTTTTAAATTGCGATATCATGATACTCACTACAACATTCTCTATGGCAAACCCAGCGTAGTAGTGTTTTAAAAAATCATATTTCGCATCAATGACTTTGAGTACATGAGGTATGGGCGCGATAGTTTGAGTTTTCGGTTCAACAACGTGCAAATAATATATATATATATATATATACATACGATATATATGTACAAATTGTGACACAAAAATTTCAGAAAGAATTATATCTGCGTGTAATTACCATTCTCTGCGGATATGTCCAGAAGCGTCAACATGATATCTAATATCGTCCACTACGACTCTGCTTTGTGTAGCATTAGATAACTCTGAAACAATCTCGTCGCGTTCGCTATTCACCTCCTCCGGAGGCCGGGACAGTATGACTCGTATTAATTGAGATGGCTCAAACACCCATACCTTGACAAAAAATAAAAATTAATTAAATTTATAAAATGAAGATATTTAATAAAGCAATCGTGTAAAAAAATCTTACAAACCAATATACAATACTAATAATAATATCACGTCACAAAACCGGTAATGTTAATGTGAAACTAATATTATATTATAATAGACAATAACAATGACAATTGCAAAAAGCTTACATGAACTCTCGTCATCGCGTATCTTTCTGGAATGGCTGTCTCCTTGGCAATAACTTCGACGATAAATCTGTCTTGATTGTATTCCGCCATGTATCCGCTCGTAACGAGTTTACCATCCTGCGTGACATTGAACGGACTTGGCACTATCGAGCCGCTCGGCTTTTCCGAGCCATATTTGTAAAGATTCGCGCTGGCGACATAGTAATGGAGAGTACCGTTGTCTCCGACATCTAAGTCGGAAGCAGTTACTTTAGTCACGAAGTCATTTATGTTCGCCATGGAATTTACACCGGCATAATAATCATTGCGCTCAAAGATGGGCGGATTATCGTTTTCATCCAACACCGTTATTGTTACATTCACGTGTCCGTGTTCTGGATTGTGAGTCAACGGTCGGCCGGATTGTGCAGGATTGATGTAAAGATCGGGATCGTTGGACGCAAGAATAGAAAGAACATATTTATCTCTTGTCTCGCGATCAAATGATTTATTTGCGTAGATACTGCCATCAGATTTGTCCATGTAAAAGGCGTATCCTTCGTTTCCTTAAAAAATAAATAATACATTCATAAGATATCTCAATCTTCAAATTGTGAAAATATATTTATCGAAAAATAATTTTTTAATCAAGAAATCATAAGAAGATATAATTAGAAGAAAAGAGTATAATTTTAAATATCTTGTGTATATTATTTATTTACCTGCTTCTATGTAATAATAAACTTTGGCATGTCTGCCTTCGTCTTTATCCTCCGCTGTAACTTTGCCAATGAAATAATCCTTTGGTCGATTCTCGGATACATGGAAATTATATTCCTCGTAGAATTGCGGTACGTTATCGTTTGTATCAACTAATTGAACTGTTAATAAACGAAGTGTTTCGTACGCTGTAGGACTGCCATGATCGGCTGCCACAAGAACAAGCTGAAAGAAAATGTTCATAGAATTTCGAGCTCATTAGAAAATAATTTCATATATTACTTACTTCAAATTTACTCTTGATCTCACGGTCGAGAATAATCTTCGATCGAAGTTCGCCGGTCTCTTGGTCTATAGAAAATTCCTCAGTTTCCTGAACGTTTCTATTGCCGATTTTCAAATGGTAGCTAACACGGCCATTCTCGCCAGGATCTCTGTCGATTGCTTTTACAGTTAATATTAGATAATTCGGCACACCTGCATTCTGAAAATTAACCACCAATCAATATATTACATGTAGTAAAAAGAAATCCATTATTTTTCCAATGGCTTTAGTAATCTGTATCTCGTCTACGCGTGAAAAATAATGTATTTCTTTTTACTACACCTAATATTACATTAATATTTCATATATTATATTGATTGTTTACTTATTCTTGACAAACAAGAAATATTCTTTCTTCTGTACGTACTTCTGGCACTTCCACGGTCGCGTTTGTCAATTCCGGCATTACGAACTGCGGTTTATGCTGATTCACAGGTGTGACTCTTATATCGACGTAACATCTGTCCGAGTGCGGACCACTTCCGGCGCCGTCACGTGCTTCGACCTCGATTCTGTAAGAACCGGCTCTGCCGAGGAGGGCGGCTGCGGGGTACAGGATACCAGTTTCGCGATTTAATGAAAACGATTCATTCTCATTCCCATTGATGATTGTGTACCAGACTTCGCCGTTTATTCCTTCGTCCTGATCTGCCGCTCGTACCTTAAAAGACATCATAAATATGTTAATTTTATTATAAACTTTAAAAATTTTTTTAAATTTTATATATTATATATTTTATATATATGTTTTATGTAATATTAAAAATCTTGCAAAGAATATTGGAAATTAAAAATACATTATAAAGTGAAAAAGATTTTTCTCGACAAGAAAAGCTTGATTATACTTGAAAAAATTCTTATCTATTTATGATGTAAATTATTATTTTATTCAAGAGATTCAGGACGATTTTAGATGACAATACCTGCAAGATAGGTGCCGGCGGATTAACGGACAAATTCTCCGCGACAGAAGCTCTGTAACTGTGTTGTGAGAATATTGGTCTGTTATCATTCTCGTCAATTAACTTGACAACCACCGGCACGGTGGTGCTTCGCCGAGAATTTATATGGGCGCCGTCGCTGGCCATCACCGTTATGGTGATTTCCGGCGTCACTTCTCTATCGAGAACTGTAGCACCGCCTACAGTAATCTCTCCGGTTTCATGTCCTAAAAATTGCGTGAATAAGTGTGAATATTAAAGAATTAAACCTTATTATTATTTTATATTGATGATTAAAAATCCAATGAAGTAAAAGACTTTTATATTCAATATAATAGAGAAGTAAAAGATACTTAATTTATTTGACTTTATATTTTACAACCAGAGCTATGTAATCGATCGTATTTGTTAACTTACCGATGTTAAAGTCAGCAGCGTGTTCTCCAATTAGGCTGTAACTGACATCGCCGAAAGGTCCCTCATCACCATCCGTAGCTTTCACAACGATAACGCGAGTACCAGGCGGAGAATTCTCTTTCACTGACGCGTTATATAGCTCCTTCTCAAACTTTGGATCCTGATCGTTCACGTTAATCACAGTAACGGTAACTTTCGCAGTCGTGGAAAGTTGAGGCACTCCAGAATCATAAGCGACCACCGTG